ACATTGGTTTCCCCAGTGGTATCTTTTTCACGCATTTCTCGTCTCCCCCATCAGCGGTTTATATTCCGACCACCTCATTCCCCCATGATTTGATTTTCCAGCTAATATTTTGAAGACAGTATACTGCCAACGGCGAGTAATCATTTGTAATCGTCGTCCTGGATTGAGCTAATAAAAAAGCCCGACCAGAACAGCGTCGCTAGAAAAGTAACACAGCTAAAAATTGCAAGAGCCAGAAAATAAGTTATTCGTACTCAGTAAAATACTTTACAGGTTATTTGTAAAATAACAAAAGAAAACATTATCTATGCCTAGTTTTAATATGGCTCTATTAAAACCGATTGATGTCCTCAGCTTTATTCATTATCAACGAGCATTGTGCAGAATTCGGCTAAGTCCTCTAGGAACAGTCGGTCCACAATCTCTTTATTCACGTGGTTTATACTTCACGGCCTGCTTTGTTAATAATGCCCTCATTCTGTACATGTGTCGCATCCATTAACCTGAACATGGAGTAAACTCAACTTTATCATATCAGATGCAGGAGCAGTGTATAGAATACGTGTACTAAGTGACAATAAACAGAACTCTTCCTGAGAAGCTAATAATCGCTCCGTTAGTTAAAAATCCCGTATTTAATGAAAACCAAAGTTTAAATGTCCAGTTCATAAGAGTCCGCCATTAATCATAATTCTGAACCAAATTAATCTGGTTTACACCCCCAAGCCCCAATTCCTTAAAATTCATTTTAATATTATCCTCCATCTGCGCCTAGGTCTATGAAGATCATCGTTTATCCTCAGGATTTCCGAACAAAATTTTGAATACGTTTTTCATACCACGCCCATCACATCGCCTTTGATCTGAACACCGGAAATCATCAAGCAATTTCCTCCATCCACCTATTACTTCCTATCTCTTAGGTCTAAACATTCGCCTGGAGACCGTAATCTCAAATACGCTCAATGCACGTTTTCCCTTAAAATACATTTCATATAGACCTAAAAGATAAAGTTGTGTCTGGTGCTTAATTAAACATCACGCCATGAAGACGTAGAGGGAGTAGGGGTGGGTCTGTAGCTCCAAACATTTTTAACCTTGGCAATGGAGGGATGTGAGAATTAGCTTCACGCCCCGGCTACTCTGACCCCGTGGGATTAACCCCGATACCCACAGCAGGTATGGACGCTGTGGCAAAGAAAGAAATCCTGCAATGCGAGCATCGAAACCAGGTCGTCCAAGTACAAAGCGTAGTCATTATACTGACAGACTGTCCCAGCTCTCTACTATGTTTGTCCACATTTATTTATATTTTTAGCAAGTCAAAACTGACGAAATGCCTATTGCCAACGAACGAACCGAGCGAAACGTTAATTAAGGGCGGTGTGTCGCTCGAAGCTCAAATACGATGTCCCTTGCTCTGTTCAATCGTCCCCGTGTATGAAACGCGTAGCTGAGATTTGAAAAGTGTCTTATAAACTGTAATTGGGGGTGTGCTTATGCTAATGGGTTTGTCTTGGCTGAAAACCTTAACGTGTTCTGGCTAAGGGTCGTTGCTACTGGCGGGAGAATGACCCCTACTTGCAAATCTGTACTTTGCGAAAGGAACTTTGGTTGGTTAGATGTCTGGGAGTCGAACCCAGAAAGTTTGGATCATTTAGGCTAATGACGTCGGATAATGGCGAAGAGGGATTATTTTGGCTGAACGCCTCCATGATTGGAGGCGGGTCGTCCCTACTCTGAAGTACGCCTCAGCATATACGTTACAACGAAGCTCGTCTAAATAACATTTCAGTACGTACCGCATCACCGTTACAAAGATAAACTGGTTAATATTGTTTATGGAAATAGGCTACAGCAAATTTTCCGATTGCAGGGACAGGTTTGCGTGACTCGTTACTCAACTCTTTAACTATAGATGACACGTAAGTAATAATTCAGGACTGTACATATTCTTGAAATGTGCCCGATCCATGTTTAAGGCCATGAGGAATCGGGTCTTTATTCTAGGTTTAAACCTCGAGTGAATAAGAATCCTAATTTATAAACAAGAAAAGGGCAATTATGATTATTGCCTACGCCTTGTTTTGTTTCGAAAATAATAGTCTAATTGCATCATATACCTAGTGAAAGTGAAAACAACCAAGATTTGCTCTGGGGACGGTCACAGCGAGTGCATTTCTGGATCAGCCACACCCATGGAGTTGAGATAGGAAAATTGCGACACCCTCCACTGATATAATTTTTGCAGCACTAACCAACCGCAAGCAACGCTACTCGCTAAGTAAAACAAAGTTCTGACTCAAACTCTGACAGTAGCTTAGTTGGTCAGAAATTCCCTGAAATTTGGTGCTGCCCGAAACGTCATTACAAAGTGCACAAGAGGCTGACACTGGTCCCTACCCAGAGCCTAGATAATCCAATTCAGGGCCACTCGCCTGATTCAAGATTCATCTTAATATCATCCTTCCACGTACACCCGTATCTCCCAAGTCATTTCAGTCTTTCAGCTTGGCCGATCTGTTATATTTCCCAGTTGTGCTACATTTTCGCCAATCTTGTCTTTCTTCATCCGATCGTACAAATAATATTCTATGAAGAAACTCATCATGTAACTTATCAGTCCCTCCTCCGTCCTCTTTCTTGGGCTAAGACATTCGCCACAGCAGTTCTTAGACACCAACATTCCATTTCCTTCTGTAATGATGCGAGACAACGTAAAATGAAGTAAAAATTAGTCTACATGTGATTCAATGTTTTTAGACGGGTGCTGGGAGACACAATAAGATGTTTCTAAGCTAAAGTGAGGTAAAGCGTTAGACTTGTATTTGAGAGTAATCTGTTTAGAAGAAGCAAGACCGCCATCTTCGGACTCACCGCCGTGTAAACCTCAAATCCTACTTAATAAAGTTAGTCTCGGCCGGGTTACTGGCTATAAAGGCGATACATGCTGTTTTTCTCAGTAAATCCAAGCAGATGCCTCGAAACGTCTTCTTCCAAATCATCATTCATCCACCGCTTACGGTCATCTTCACGTCACACTCGACATTATAGACATCTGCAGTTGAAACGACGTCGTAATATAACTCAAGAAACAAAGGCAGTCGTCCCTTGTTATGGTTGTTTCTTGCACTGACGAATAAAAATATTATTGTGTCACATGCACCCCAGTTTAATTTCCTTTTACTGAAATTTTAGCCGGATAGGAATTAGTCTTGGGCTGTCAAGAGCACTGGTCGTAACATTCGGGGTCCATAAAGACGATTTCATCAAACAACTATCGACTTCTCAGTAAGAACTCTGCTCAACGGTGTCATTAAAACGGACATAATTATGCCATTCTGACCCACTCTAGTTATTATCATTGTTGTTGTTGTTGTTGTTGTAAATGCTCATGATTCATGCTTAAGCATCCATACAGTTAAAATGCCAACGATGTAAAACCTCTTACAATGGTCAATTACATGCTTCTTCCCAGGGCCGCACAATTACGTGCAAAGTAGAAATTAGACATTATCTCAACTAAACTTTAAAGGTGTCAAAGTGATAAGGCCATTACTACAGTACACGTGAAAGCCACTTTATATTTAGGACAACAGCTTTCCAACGCACTATTGTTCAGAACACGTGATACAGTATCCATGGAGGATACTAAGTTTCGAGTAAGTATTAATTCATACGAATACTGAAAATTAATAACTTGTTCTCTAACATGACAATTATGTGATAACTTTAAAGAGATTCTATAATTTAAAAAGGTCTATTACATTCTACTTTAATATCTTCAATGTTAGACTATTAAACAGGATATGTACTATTTGTATCTTTTCGCAACAAGATGCACGAGTCCACATGTGGAATCTTCGAAACCACAAAAATGATTTCGATCGATTGAGTTTGATAAAAAATCTACAGAAATAGTCGCGAATATTTAACATAACCCGTACTTCACACGAAGCTTAAATCAGACACCGATCAAATGTAATACGAATGTTATTGCCTAGCCTAGCAATAAAAATTACCCAATTGTCGCCAGAATTACAAAAATAAAGAAAATAATAAATGTCAATCAGATGACAACCAATCGCCTGCATACAGGAGCAGAACCAGCTAGCGAAACGTCGTGTGTATCAAATATATTTCGCACAGTGGACAATGCGCAACGTTTATATTTTTATAAACAAGCAAAAAAATTGTGACTGGCATAAAATATGGAAATACGGAAATAACATCTTTCACTTGAAACTTTCCCCAACAGAGTAAACCAGTTAACGGACAAATAATTTCGGCTTCTGTGCATTGTGGTACCAGTACGTTGACTTCCAACTATACTTACACCGACAATAAATAAGCGTCAAGAGCGATGGCGAATGAGAAATGTAGTACATCTAATTATACAAAATACGTATAATTATAAACTGGACCCAGAGATGTTTCCACAGCTTACAAATCGTTTGGCCAATTTGGTATAGAGCTTTCTTAAATTGCAGGAATATTTAATAATACTTTATTTAAACATTGGCTATTGTTTAATTTGCGTTACAAAACTGTTATGGTAATTGCAAGTCTCTTTTTTGTAATAACCAACGAACTCAAATTTTGTGAAGTGGATACAGTTCCTACATTTCAGTACTTTTGAACAGATGATGAGAGAAATGTTATGATACCAAATATTACCTAACTTATAGATACGCACAACCCATTTCGATATTAAATATTTTCCCCGATGTCAGATCGTACAACTCATCGATAACAATTTAACTACACCTTACAGCTGTTGTTAATTTCTGTAGGAAAAGTTCAATTATTTATTCAACACTTCATTCGTTTTAGGAAATAATTAATTTGACAGCCCCCGACAGCGCCATATAATTATTTGCAACGACCGACTCCGTATACTTCAAAGTTAGGGCACGCGGTTCACCGCTCCAGACATACGGGTCGGTTGGAGGGGGAGGGGCGGACGGACACGTGCGAAAACCGATAGATAACTCACTCACCTGGCACCAACGAGGAGGGAATTTTGGTCCTTTTCCAGCAGTTTGAAGTGGTCCTTGTGCGACTCGTTACCCAGAAATCTCTGCGCCTGCTCCTCTCCTGCAAAAAAAACAAGAACAAATATATTTCGTTGCACGGTTTGCGTGACCGCTGTCTGATAGATTTACGTATCTGCGCTTGACTACACGTTACACATACGGAGAAGACTTGAAAACTGTAGGGCGCCAAATGAACCACATAACAGACATCACAGGATTTCGTTCCACGAGGTAACGTCAAATTTAATTTGAAAACTTTATTAAAATATGAGACTTGAAGTTTTCACAGCGGAGAAAATTGGGATTCTGATCTTTTGCTTATGACGCCAAACCACCTCTTGAATTTAAATCAGTTGATTCTGTGAGGTAGCCATAATATTCTGAAATTAGGTTGTTTTTTTCGTTTTAACATGTTAATGCTACACAAGGAACATCACGCCCAAAATAATCAGCCTTAATGAACATAATTTATTTGCCATTTCTAATTAAATAACTCCATAAAACAGAAATTAACTATCCAGAGACGTCCTTGAGAAGTTCGTGGTCGCTTAGGTTGCCAAGAAATTTTCCACCTTCCAATGAACCCAAAGGTTCATCACCGTGTGGGATTTTAAGATTATCAAAGCGGTACAGAGAGCTAATTATTAAGTTCTTTTGAGCT